TATAATAGGTCGGGTTTATCCCCTTCAAATCAGAGAGAAACCAACCAATTTCTTTTTGATTTTCTTTCAAAACCATGATCAATTTTTCTTCTTCATTTCTAGATAATGATCCATTTATGATAACGGGCTTGTTCCCATCACTTTCAAGGAACACATATTTTAAATATGGTGGTAACTTTCAACTCTAAACTTGACTTTTGTTTAATTGGGTTTTTTTTAAATCTCGAACTCATCTTCCCAAGGTTGTACTTCTTTCAAAATCTCTAAATCCGCCATACAATCTTCAAGCTCTTTTTTCTCACTATCATGAAGAACTTGAAGAGAGTTAGTTAAAGTTTTCTCAAGAGGTGTTATAAGATGAACTTGACTTGTCTAATCTTGTATTGCTTTTTCGGTATCATCCATTCTAAAGCAATCTCTTTTTTCATTTGAATGTTTCATTGTCTCAAAGAGATTAAAACAATTTTCCTCATCTTGAACTCTTACCTTCATTAAACCATCATCAATATCAATCATCATTCTTGCAGTCTTCATGAAAGTTCACCCAAGAATTAAAGGTGCATCCATGTTTTCTTCCATCTCTATAACAACAAAGTCCACGGGAAAAAAGAATTTTTCAACTTTGACTAACAAATATAAAGCTACTCCATGAGGATGAGTAGTAGACTTGTCGTCTAGTTGCAATGTCATCTTTGTAGATTTCAACTCTATATTTCCCAACCTTTTCACAACAGATAACGAAATTAAATTGATGCTAGAGCCCAAATCGATGAACCCTTTTCCGACATAAACGTCACCAATTGTAATAGGTAAAGTAACCCGTCCCGGATCACTTTCTTTCTTCGATAGAGTCCATTTAGTGATTGCACTACAACTAGCATTAACCATGATAGTCTCTTGATCAGTGTATCTTTTCTTCTTAGTCAATATATCCTTCATAAACTTTGTATACTTCAGCATTTGTTCTATCGCTTTGGAAAATGGAATGTTGATTTGTAATTGTTTGAAAATATTCATGAAACGAGCGTAGTGTCTTGCATCGTCCTTCTTTGAAGGAGCATGAGGATATCGTGAATTTTGAACCGGTAAAGTAACAAATTTCTCCTTCCGCTTCTTGTTTTTCTTCAACTTCTCCTTTCCAACTAACTCCTCCTCGTGATTATTTTCTATTACAATCTCCTCTTCATGTTATTTTTCTATTACCACTTCCTTAATTTCGTCTTCATTACCAACTTCAATTCCAACTACTCTACCACTCCTAGTTAATATTGTCTTGTAATGCCACTTAGGATTAGATTGAGTATTTGCTGAAAATGATGATCCGACATTTTGATCGGCCAATTGCTTGGCTACCTACCCCACTTGAGTATCCAAATTTTTGATTTCCGCTTCATTACTCTTTTGATTTTCCATAGATGCTTGCATGAATTGAGCAAGATTGTCTTGTAAATTTAAACTTCTAGATGGAGGTTGTGAATTTTGATTTGTGTTTTGATAAGGACTTTGTCTATTTTGATTGTTGGCATCTTACCTCCACCCTTATTGATAACCTTGGTTACCTCTTTATTGGTAACCTTGGTTATTTTGATATGATTGCCTTTGTTGGTATCCTTGATCATGATTCCCCATGTAATTAGATTCCTCTTCAACCGGAGGACAAAATCCTAATTTATGGTCACCCTTGTATAACTCACAACAAGAAACTTGTTATATTTGATTGATAGGACTTTCTTGCATTTCTCTTACTTGTTGAGGAAGCTTTTCCACTTGCTTGATTAATTCTTCCACTTGTTAAGCGAATAATTTGTTTTGGGCTAAAAGAGCATCATTTGATCTTGAATCATTTTCTTCCTCTTTCTTTTGAACAATACCTCGATCATGTTGAACTTGGTGGTCATTCCTTGCCATTCTTTCAATAATTTAAATCTCCTCTAGCATGGTCTTTTCCATAAGTGACCCTCCCGCAGTAGCATCTAACAAAAGCTTTGGTTGTGGTTGAAGTCTATTTTGAAAAATATGCATTTGAGTAATGGCATCGAAACCATGACTCGGAAATTTTCTCAACATAGATTTGTACCTCTCCCAAGCTTCATTTAACAATTCGACTCCGCCTTGAGAGAACACTGAAATAGCCTTTTTGGCTTCCAAGAAACGTGATTGTGGGAAGAACCTTTCAAGAAATGTTTCTACAAGAAAATTCCAATCTGTCATGATTTGATTAGGTTGGTCAAGATACCAATCCTCAGCTTTATCAATCAACGAATGTGGGAATAATATTTTAAAAATTTGTTCTTCATCCTCCTCCGAAGCTCCTATAGCACCCGCTATCTCATAGAATTTTGTTAGATGCGTGTAAGGGTCTTCATTATCTAACCCAGTGAAAGGGTTATGATACAATAGTTGTAGAATTCCAGTCTTCATTTCTAAATGCCTTTGGTATGCATTTCGAGAAAACTAAGCATCCAATATCATACTATTTGCACAAGGACCTCTTGGTTGAATTGCTGCCATAACTTCTTCTATATATTGGTTCAAAGGTATAGCAGAAGTATACGCTTCTCCTCTTTCCCTTATTTCTTTCGCTAGCTTTCTCCTTCGTCTAGTCTTGTTATTTAATTTTCTACAAGTCCTTTCGATTTCAGGGTCAAAAAGGAGTTAATCTTCAGAAATACTTCCTCACATAAACTAAAGTCTGAAAACACTAACAAAACAAGTGAAAAACAAGAGATATTAATAAGATAAAATAACTTAAAACACTTAAACTGTTGCAATGCTTGCAAAATCAAACGTCAATCTCTGGCAATGACGCCATTTTGTTGTACGTATTTTCAACACAAGTATTTATATTATCGTTTTTCTCAGGGATTGGTGTGATATTAGTGTCGTTCTATAGTTTTGTTGAATTTAAGTGTTTGATTCATATACAAAGTTTTGGTATTGAGTTTTAGTAACAAAAATATTAGGTTTCATGCAAGATGTTGTGATTTGGATAAAAGAGAGATTTTTTTTGACATGTTTGTTTTGATAAAAAGCATGTCAAGATTATTTTTCATAAACCTATTTCATACGTATTTGATTAATCAAGCATATGAACTAATCGACGATCGATATATTCACGTATCCTCTCAACACTGATCATGTCTAAGCAATATTGTGAGTATTATCATGTTAATCCATAAATGATCTCTCAACCTAACTATTAACATGATAATATTTAAAACTTGATACAAGTGAATACTAACTCACAAATCTATGTCTAGAGTTTTCTCATTAATAAATGAATATCTTAGGTCAAGTTTAAAACTTACTTCTCAATAATGATCAAGACCATCAAAAGAACAAAGAAAGCAAAAATATTCAACATATATTAATCATCAACCAAGTTCATATACAAAATAATCAAAAGAAATACACAAGGGCTAGGTTAAATACCTCTAGTCTTGACACAAGAGGTGTTTAGATCCTCATAGTCATGATATCTTGATCAACAAATAAGCAACAAAACTTTATGAACATTAACCTTGAAGTTTCAAAGATTGAGGATGCAAAACTTTGATTTTTATAGAAATGGAGTGAAAATGGGTTTTTTTTCTCCAAATGTTGTTTTTCTAGGATAGAAAGTACAAGAGAATGAGGAAGAATGATACAAAATATCACAAAAGTGACATATAAGCAAGGGCAGTCCGCCTACCATCGCCGAACGATCATAAAACATCGTCGGACGACGCTAGCTAAATGGACCACATGACAAACTAGACGTATGGAACAAGCAGAAAATATCCACCATCGTTCGATGACAAGGATGCTTTGTCGGGTGACTCTTCTTTCGCCGGACGCTTCAGGGGCGAGAGACTCCAGAGGCTGCACCAAAATTCATGCTTTCTCCTAAACTTTCGTCTGGCGACACTTTCTTTCGTCGGACGATGACTCCTTGCAAGGCCAAATCTTTTAGCTTGCAACATCATCAAAGAGCCGACTTCAAACTGCAATATCTGAAAGAAAAATACTGAAAAACTAACAAACAAATTAAAACATTCAAAATTATTTGTTTTTATGTAAAATGACTTAAAATAAGTACTTATCCTAATTAAAAATATAATAAAGGGTTTGAAAGTGTCAATAAATGATATGAAAATTACTCAAAAGTTGACACTTAACAAGTTTGTAATTCATATTGTGTATTTGCTTGTTTATAAGCACTATTGTAAACACACAATCTTTGTATTGGAACTCTTATTGAATTCCTTAAGGGACTAGATATAGTCTGTAGTCTCGAGAAGTCATTGACTATTTGTCTTTGAGATTGTATTTCTTGAGGGACTAAGTTTAGTTTGAAACCTCAGGAAATCATTGATAGTAGTTGGTCTTTGAGTTATAATCTGATTGATTAATGGATTAAGTTCTTATCGAAAAGACGAACTCACTCTAACAAGTGAACTGGATTAAGTTAGTTAACTGTGAATCAATATAAAAATTCTAAAGTATTTTTATTATTGTTGAGTTGATTTTTGAATCTGCAAAAATTTACCTCATTAGAAACCTATTTCAAACACCCATTTTTCATGTTTCATTGAACCTTCATAGTCCAATGTGGCTTGGATTGAAATGTGGTTGTTAGGCTGATCCTTGAAGAAGAAACATAGTCATAAGCGGCCGCTGCTGCCGTGGAGGAAACAAACCATAAAGTTTCATTTGATTTCGATTTGAGTTGCTAAAATAAACATTCAAGTATCCTAATTTTGTAACTACAAAGATTTATAAAATCATTTAAGCACATTGTTTTGGTACAAAATTGATGTGTAAAAGTAAAAACCATTGAAAGATCTATCATTTAATTTGTTACGACAACACTTTCTAAAGTGTTCACAACTTTATTCTATGATTTTACTAGTAATTTTTTGTGTGTTTAGTTCCAACCATATTATAATCTTTGATTTAAATCCATTACAATTAATGCACCATGTAGCGACCAATGATTTGCGTCGAGTAATCGTTGATCATTAGGCAACACTAACTACATGAACCGAACCGTCGCTATCAGAAATCGGCTGCACCACTCCCCTATGAAGTGACTCAGAAGGCACAAAATTTGCAAGTGATGCTAATTCTTCAACAGCTTCACAAATTTGCTCAACACAAACCACAATATCAATAAGCAATGATGCCACCGTAGAAGCTGGTATAATCTCCAAGTGATCAGCACCTTCCCATGGATTTGTTCTTAATACAGATTTAAGAGATTCAGCAGCATTTTTTGCATTTAAAACATGCACTTTTGGACTTGATGACTTTGACATTTTTTTAATCATCAATGATGCTTCTTTTAAGGCCTTCCCTGATTCCATGCTAATATCCGTGCATGGTTCTTGAATCCTACTTCGATATTCATATGGAGTCTGTATCACAAAACACAAAATTAACATCGTTAATTTATTGATATTTATAAATCAACAATTTTAAAAATAATATTGTTAACTTATCAAATAAGTAACAAATTGTTGATTTAAGAAGTAATGAATCACATAAGTACTTGTATGATAGAATTGAGATGAAAATTTCATACTTTAGAATTGTGAAGATATACACTAAGTGCTTCGACTTTGTATGCACAAAACCGTGTCAAGTTTCCAATTTTCAAGTATTCCTTCCAAGGATGGCGAAATCTAAACCGGCCATGACGAGGTTCCCATCTTGCCAAAACCGCCTACAAAATTCAAAAAAAACATTTAATTATCAGATTTGTTGTATAGTCATGATATAATTTCTTACAAATACGTTATAATAAATCGCACGATTATATATTCATAAATATCTATCTACATGGTTATATGACGATAATTATACAAATTAATTTTTTTAAAATTTAATTTTTTACCATTGTTTCTTCACTATTTTTTGAGGAGAGAGCTCTTTTATATTTGTGAAGAAATTCTTTATTATTTTCGTCTTCTGAATTCTCTGTATCATTGAAGTATTCATCTCCAAATCCTATCACATAGTTAATTTTTTATTAGTTTTAAATCTCATAATGTATTAATTCTAAAAAATTCACTAAAATGTACCTTCTAAAAAGTCAGCAACTTTTTCAATATTGCCAGCAATTTTATTGTGAAGATCTTTTCCAATCCAAACAGGGCATATGAAAATGCACACTGTAATAGCTATAGAGCTTCCAATTATAATTGTTAATAACCTTTCATATGCCATTTCTAGAAGTTCATTTCCACTCACATCCGAAAGAGATACCAAACAAAATGTTAAGATGAATATGATCATCCCATAATCATATCTTGCCTTCAATTTTGGTGAAAATCTCATAAATGTCACTCTTTCAGCTGCATATTTAAGCAAAAAAATAATTAATATATAAAGTTACTATAAAATAAGTATCTCACGCAATTGTAAATAATGTCTAAATACTATTAATAAATTGATTAACTTTTACTTACCTATTACAAAGACAAAGATTGAAGTCATTACGACTCTTCCCTTATCTCCACAAAGAATGGCGATTTTATTACTTGCAACACCGAGAGCGCCTCCTAACCATGTCGCCAACATTCGATTGAAACCTTTTCCGAGTGTTGCACCTGAAAACTAATGCAATTAGTATATTTTTTTACAACAACAAATGTTGGTAATTTTTTTAAAAAGGAAATACTTACCCACAGAAAGTTCAAGGACAATAACAACGGTAAGAACAGCCCAAATAATGTTGTCACCAAAACCATAGAAAGAGGGACGAAAATGATGCAAAATGTAAATCAAAACAACTGCTAATCCAACTTTGAAGGAATGAATAAACCTTCTAGGGTCATCTTGGCCAATCTCTTTTATAAATTTTGTGAACTTTACTAACTTAGTCCATAGTTTCTTAACCATGGTTCTCAAAGTGTGTGTGAAGCTTGTAGTGTATTCAACGTTTGGTGTGGCCATTTTGAAATATTGCTCTTAATTCTATGAAGTTAATAATATTTATTGTCTTGAACTATGGGCACATATAATATATATATATATATATATATATATATATATATATATATATGGAAAGGTATCACTACAAGAAAATGTTTATCTAGCCACGTGATTTTCATGTGGCTAAATAAAGTCAGTTGCGACGTGAAAATCACGTGGCAACGTGTTTTACTAATATAATAAAGAAACATTAAGTGTGTCAGTTTTTTTTTGTGTTAAAAAAAGTTGTGACGTGGGATTCACGTCGCTAATTAAAATATCATAAAAAATAAATTAATCACAACTTCCAACACTGGCGTGTTCAGATTTTGAAGAAAGGGAAAACAATTGTATGATTGTTGCGACGTGAAAATCACGTGGCAACGTTGCGGCATGATTTTCACGTCGCTACTTGCTTTATCTGCTTTATCAAAACGCTCCACAACACACAGTAGCGTTTCAGATTTTATTAAACTTCTTCTTCAACCTTCCATATTCCTCCATACCCATTTTCTTCTCCAAATTTTTTTCTTCTCCACACTTAAATTCCTACAATCTCCATACATTGGTTGTAAGGTAATTTCAATTCAATGTTATTTATACTTTGTTAACAGCTTTTGATGTGTTATTTGAATATAATTTTTTTTCAATTTTTCTTTGAATAGAGAAGAAGAATATTGATAGAAGTATAGATTGCAAAAAGGGACAAGAAGATTGAAGGAGTTACAAGATAAAAGGTATGTCTTGAATTTTTTTTTTTAAATTAGTATATTTTCTGAATTTGATTAATTTTTAGGTTATATACATTTTCTGAATTTCATGAATTTGCATTGGGTTAAATTAATTGTTGAATTTGGGTTATATATATTTTCTGTATTTGAGTTAAATTTTAGGTTTAATTATTTAGTTTATAATAATTATTAATTATTAATTTGTGATGAATGAGTTTAATTATTTTAGGAGTTTAAGTTTTTATATTTTTAGGAGTTTATAAATTTTTAGTGTTTAAATTAAATTTTTAGGAGTTTAATAAGTTTTTAAATTTTTAGGAGTTTATAAAATTTAGGTGTTTAAATTAAATTTTAAGTGTTTAAAAATAAATAAATATTTTTAGGAGTTTATAAATTTTAAGTGTTTAAATTAAATTTTTAGGAGTTTAAGTTTTTAAGTTTTTAGGAGTTTATAAAATTTAGGTGTTTAAATTAAATTTTAAGTGTTTAAAAATAACTAAATATTTTTAGGAGTTTATAAATTTTAAGTGTTTAAATTAAATTTTTAGGAGTTTAATAAGTTTTTAAATTTTTAGGAGTTTATAAAATTTAGGTGTTTAAATTAAATTTTAATTGTTTAAAAATAAATAAATATTTTTAGGAGTTTATAAATATTTTTGAAAGCATATATTTATCTTTAATTGTATATGTTTAGGATTATTATTAAGTTGATTAATTAATATTTCTAATTAAATAGGTTTTGATTATATAAATTTACAGTAAATGGAATATTATATGTATTATCGTAGTTGGATGTACGATAGACTATATCCAGGAAGACGCGCACTTAAACCCAATTTTATAGACGAAGTTAATGGTTTTATCGCGTGGACGTTTGCCCAGGAACGTTGTCGAAGTGAAGGAGGAGTTAGGTGTCCTTGTCTTAAATGTGGATGTAGATATATAATTAGTGACTCAGAGAAAATAACACGTCATTTGCATAAGAAAGATTTCATTGAAAATTATTGGGTTTGGACGTATCATGGTGAAACACTGCCGAGTAATGTACCAGAGACTAGCAACACAGATGGTTCAAGTAGTCAACCAGTTATGCAACCACCTATGGAATTTAAAGAAAACTTTAATCTGATAGGTGACATGGTTGGTGATGCTTTTGGTGTTAACGTGACCTATGATCAACCTGAAGACTTTGACGGGGAAGAGTTGCCGAATGAGGAAGCACAGAGATTTTATCAGTTGTTGAATGAGATGAACACGCCGTTGTTTGAGGGGTCGTCAGACTCAAAGCTATCGATGTGTGTTAGATTATTGGCCTCCAAGTCAAATTGGAATGTTCCTGATCAGTGTTTGGAGCACTTCGCAAAAATGATGTTGGACTCAACTGCAACGAAAGACAACTTGCCTGCGAGTTTCTATGATGCAAAGAAGTTGGTGTCGAAGTTGGGTTTAAGAGTAAGAAAGATTGATTGTTGCATTAATGGTTGTATGTTGTTTTATGACAACGAGTTTGGTACTCAAGATGGATCGTTAGAGGAATGTAAGTTTTGTCATAGTCCAAGATATAAAGTTCGCAATACAGCCATTAACAGTAACCAAAAACGTGTAGCAGTAAAGTCCATGTTTTATCTTCCGATAATACCAAAGTTAAAAAGAATGTTTTCTTCAATGCACAGTGCAAGTCAAATGACATGGCATCATACAAACAAAACAAGCCCAGGCAATATGCGACACCCATCTGACGGCCATGCATGGAAGCACTTTGATGAGGTACATCCTGATTTTGCCGCCGAACCTAGAAATGTCAGGCTTGGATTATGCTCTGATGGTTTTGCTCCATATGTCCAAGCGTCCGGAAGTGCGTATTCTTGTTGGCCAGTTATTGTAACCCCTTACAATCTCCCTCCTGAGATGTGCATGACAAAACCATACATGTTTTTTACGTGTGTCATTCCAGGACCGTTGAGTCCAAAAACCGGAATTGATGTGTACTTACAACCTTTAATTGATGATTTGAAGAGGTTGTGGAATAATGGAGAATGGACTTATGATATATCCCGTAAACAAAACTTTTCTATGCGAGCTGCCTTGATGTGGACCATTAACGACTTTCCAGCATATGGCATGTTGTCTGGTTGGGGTACGCATGGCATAATGGGTTGTCCGCATTGCATGGAATGCACTAAGGCGTTTACATTGGAAAAAGGGGGGGAAAGCTCGTGGTTTGACTGTCACCGCAGATTCCTACCATCAAATCGTCCCTTTAGAAAAAACAAGACAAATTTCAAAAAGGACGAACGGGTAACAGATCTGCCTCCGCCTCGATTGGCACCAGTTGCTATATGGAACCAAGTTTGTGAACTTCCAAAGTTTACAGATACTGGCAAAGCATGTAGAATTGAAGGATATGGGGTCACACATAATTGGACAAAAAGAAGTATATTTTGGGACCTCCCGTATTGGAAAGATAATTTGTTGCGCCATAATCTTGATGTTATGCATATTGAGAAGAATTTTTTTGATAACGTATTGAACACGGTGATGGATGTTAAAGATAGAACAAAAGATAATGTGAAGGCTAGACAAGACATGGAAATTTGGTGTAATCGTAACGAGTTGGAATTGAAGCCTCTCCCAAATGGAAAATTATTTAAACCCAAAGCTTGTTTCAGTCTGACCCCCCAAGAAGCTAAAGCGGTTTGTGGATGGCTAAAAGGTTTAATAAAAACAAAACCATTGGGTCATATTGAAACTGACGATCTAGTGGAGGATGTTGCTTACCAAGTTGATGATGAACACACTACAAGTTTGTCTGATACAATGGTTGAGGGGAATCAAGTTGATGAGGATGAAGATCATGAAGATTCTGGATCTGAGGATAGTACCACATCAGATGACGATGATGAAATGGATGACGAGCATGACGATTTAGAATAGTGAACCTATATTCATGAGAATTGTGTCTTGTAATTTTACTTAACGAACCATTTATTGAATGATTTAATGAATATGTATTCATGAGAATTGTGTCTTGTAATTTTACTCAACGAACCATTTATTGAATGATTTAATGAATATGTATTCATGAGAATATGTATATGTTAACTTGTATTTTCTTTAATTTGGTAAAAATGCCACCCAAAGATAATAAGGGTAAAGGTCCTAGTGATAGTGGTAGGAATCCCAAGCGTCCAAGGGTAGTAGTATGTCAGTCACCTCACTCAGCCACGTGTCCTCCCCTACAGAGTCAGGTTCATCATATGTCCATGGACAGTACTATGCCATTTACTCCATTACTATCATCTCAGAGTCCTCTTTAGTTCCCATCTGGGAGTACATGTTTTATTAGTCCATCTGGGGCCCCACCTGGTTTACCATTCCAGCAGACACAGGTGCCCTCATCCTTCTAGCAGACACAGGTGCCCTCATCCTTCCAGCAGACACAGGTGCCCTCATCCTTCCAGCAGACACAGGTGCCCTCATCCTTCCAGCAGACACAGGTGCCCTCATCCTTCCAGCACAGTTTTCCATTTTCCACACAGATGCCCTCATTCGTGCAGCAGCCTGCAGGATCCAGCACCCCACTTCCTATACAGATGCCCCCATCCGTCCAGCAGCCTGGAGGATCCACCTCTTCACGACCCACACAGACTGGTCGCACCCCCACATCCCACACAGAGTCGGATGATGACGATCTTGGTATGGATGATGATCAGATATATGGGAGAGATCTTCGAGGGGATGATGATCCGAGTGAGATTCATACCATTGATGGGAGATTTTGGATATGGCCTGAAGGGAACTCGTAAGTTTCTTATTTATTGATTTTTATTTATAAGTACACATTTCCATTTTTAATATAACTTTATATAATTAATTATGCTAATTCAATTATTGTTGTTTTAGTTTCGGGCCGAGTCGGACTGCTGCTAAGGTTATCAATTATATAATTCAGCAGAATTATACAAATTTTTTGAAGAGTTTTAGAGAAGTTTTCGATAAAGAAGAATGGTTCAAGCAATTTCAGGTATAATTAATTTATTTCTTAAGTTATTTTTATTTAAATGACCTTTTCATTATTGTTATAATTCATCTAACTATTTATTTTAATATCATACAACATTGCAGGTGAAATGTGTTTGGGATCCCCTGAACCATAACAAAGTAAAAAAAATATATTTTGGCAGGAGTTCAAGACGACTATCTGACATGCTACGACGTGTTAGAGAGAATTGGCACCTTTTGGGCATTCGT